GTCATCGGGTTTCACAAGTGGGACCGCGTCCGTGTCCATCAAAATCGTTTCGTCAAACGATCCAAACATGTATGGGAAAAACTTGTTGGAAAACCTATTAAAGAATTTCATGTATTCCTCCTTGATACAGCCTCTGACGTCCACAAACCACACATTCTGTTGGGGAAATGTAAATTTGTACTCAGATTGGCCAACCAGGGCCTTTTTAATATCCTGGTTACTTCTCTGTGCATACTCATACATCTCGATAAGTTCACGATACGAGTCTGGCATCAGGTCCATATCGAAGGGGAAACGAGCGGCATACAGTATCTGGGCCATGGAATCATCACCCAAGTCGCCTTTGTGGAAGACCTGAATTGGGAGTTTGTTGTCAAGACCTCTAAGCACTCTGATCAAGTTCACTGTATCTTCGACCTGGCCGTCACCCGCCGAAACAACGATACCCCTTCCGTTCAACCCCTGAAGATAGTTCAATGTGAAACACCTATCGTTTATGCCAAACTCCTTTCGTTGATGTGCCTCCTCATCTGAAACCTGGTGCATGTTGGCTTTTTTGCTTGGGGATGTATTTTGTTCATTCTCCTCCAGATAATCCGTCATCTTAGGCAATCTGTCCTTGACCACGGCTCCGTCCCACCGAGTAAACACCGGATAGTTTCCGGTAAAGAACGGCATGAGACGTGCCTGTATCCCGCCACAGGTGTTGTTCAATGCTTGGATATCAATTAAGGGCTTCTGTCTGCTTTTGTTTTTCGGAGTTTTGTTATAGGCGTTGATTTCCTGGTTCTTCTTTACCGCCTGTAGCACCTCCATGTGAGCGTCCTTGTCTAAATCAACACCCTTGTTACTCTCCAAGTAGCATGAACCAAAGACTCTAAGGTTTGTGGCGGCATCCACAAAGCTCTGCTCGGTGGCCTGAAAAGCCTTCATAGTCTCATCGAACGCCACGTCCACCGCCTTCTTCATTTCTTCGGTGACTGGCACGTCTTTCCAGCCTTCATCTTTTTTTACCTGCTCATCAGAGAGGCCCTTTTCCTTCTTGTATATCTGCTTCTGGAGTGTATTGGTTTGCTCCTGGATAAATTTTTTGCGGTCTAGTACCCCCTTGTTGTAGCCATACTTTTTGCCATCCTCAAAGGTATCAAAGTTCCACTTCGGGTTTGCTTCATACAACTTCTGGAAGTAGAGCTTGCAGTTCGCATCCTTCTGATTATGGAGAGCCTGGGCACCATGGTAGGTGAGCAACTGTTTGTATGGGGTGGATATCTCTTTATCGAGAGTGAGGACAATTTCATGGAGCTGCTTGATGGATCCGATGCTGGCTTTCTTCGTGGATGAGAAGTCTGGCTCGGATATGTCACCGCCTTTGATGTCAATATTATCGCCCGCGTGTGGCAGGTCGTAGAATCGAGTGTAGAAAAAATAAAACTGGTAGAGCACGATTACGGTGACGATAACCTTGATATACAGCGGTTTAGGCGCGGAGAAGTGCCGCTTGAGAGACTGAAGTGAGACACGTTTCATGATGGGCTGCCCTGGTTTCAGAGTAAGAAGCCTTAGAGTGTATTTGAAGGGGTGTATGCGAAATTTCGGAATATACAAGGAATTTATATCCAGGGGCCGACCTGAGTTATAACCTACGGTTCAAATGATTATCTATGCATAGCCATGCGCAAGGTTCTGTATGCATACAGAGGTTGATACAAGACTAGAGGGTGATTATGAACTAGATACCACTATATATTAGCATTTGTATCGCTACCGTACCAAACTGGAAAGTAATAAAAGGCATAATAACTACATATAACCCATTGTTTCATATACACCTCTATAAATTGAGAGGTATTGAGGTAGCTTGCATATCGTCCCAACTTTTTATCGTTTCACATGCTTAGAGCTGCGTCTACTCTGCTCATATTTCGTCAAATATGCTATTACTTCGGGTTGACCCTGGCTTTTTTTTTTTTCTTAAGGGGTCTGCAGCAGTCAAATGAAAAACTCCGGTTTGCCACTCATTGTAACACCCTGAATAAAAACAGTCACCCATTTACCTCTCGGAGGCACTTACCACGTGGAGTAGTTCATAGGCTATACTAAAGTGGATTAAACATACACTCTATTGCTCTTATTTTTCGTCTATTCCCGTTCTGAGATGTGGAAACAAGGAAGTGATTCAAGATAACTGCAGCCTAATTGCTTTTTTCTTTCTCGCCGCACCAATTTCGTACATGGCATCGTCACTGGCCCTGGACTTTAATTCGTTTTCGCGGTATGCACCGGTTATTACCATGGCATACATAAATTAAAAATTACCGATCTCACTCTCTACACGTTGATTCTGGTTGAACGTCACTATTTGGGGATTCTTCTGAATACATGGGATATCGGGTGTGATTCTGTACCAGCAGTACATCGCGTGTACGACGCACCGGCGTTAGGTGTGGCGCGTCTGCTTTTACTACCCTTCCGAGGGTTGAGACTAAAAAAAGTTAATAGTCACCCGTCTATTTTTGGTGACCTGCGTTCGCCTTAAGCTGTTAGCTTCTACAAACAGCCTTTACCTCTGGCCTGAGGCCGCCTGATATATGTAACGTGCCCCTTTTCCTGCTAAGTATCGGATAGTATTTATAACTACGGAGCCGACACCAGTCACGTACTAACTGTTCCAGCTCCAAAGTAGAAGATTCATTGCATACTTTTGGACACAGATCTGTAATTCACATATTTTCGTTTAATGGATCCCGTGACAGAATAGGCACGTAGGTAATACGTACACACCCCACGTGCACCCTCTACATCCGGCAAAATGTATTCGCCCTGGTTGGCGACAAGTGGACACAGCTACGAAATGCCCACTGAGTGATGGTAACGGCTGGTTTTGAACCTTGGCCTGGAACTTTTCGAAATAGAGTAGAGTCAATAATAAGCTGGGGGGATATACGACAAGCGTAAATCAGGAACTTGGCACTCTTACTGGGAATACTTACAAGGCTACAACTGTAGCACCTGGACAATGAACCAACATCTGCATGTGCAGGTCGTGTGTGGCATAAACGTAGAGGCTTTTTTAAAAAGCCCAGTAGCTATTGTTAATATGGTGCATGATGGCAGTAGCTACAAGAGTTAACTTTTAGATTCTCTTGAAGAACTAAATTCAAACGGGTAGATAGAGTGCTTCAAGGTGTCTCAAACTAAGAGTTATTTTACAGTTTCCACGCGTAGATGGAAACAATATTGTACTCCCGATTGAAGTGGGACCAATGTTTCATACAGCCTACGATATACGAACGCAGCATGTTCCAGCCGGCCCCTACTCCAGGTAAATTTGGAGCTGACAAAATGGCGCACCCAAAAGATCCTGTATACGCCCGTTGAACTGTTCTACGGTACTGTCAAGCCCTATGCCTCGCATTAGAAATTCAATACACACATTTGGAGATCTAGTTCGCATACGTGATATATCTAGCAGGTAGTGGATACCATTAGCTATCCAAGAGAATATTTTAGCTTTATACATTAAATATATAACCAAGAGGAGGGCAAAGACCTCATAAAACATAGGGAAACCCGTATCACACCACTCTAAATAAGGGCAAAAGTCCGGGTAAGACGAAGGACGTCTGCAACGCTTGATGGGCAATATAATCTTTAACTCAATGCTCACACCACTCTTGTTGCACAAAGGCGTACTTTTCCTCAACCCTTCTGCAAAACATAATACAAACCAGTTAAAACGGATTTTTCCTTTCGGGAACATTCTGTTGCACTATGCCGTAGCCCGTCCAAAGATCTCCCAAGAACTTGAACCGCAACTTATCAACAATCGAGAAATGCACTAGTTTGCCCAGGAAATTCTCCTCCAATGACCCTCCTACGTTGGTAAACCCGCACCAGAGGTACCCACCGCATGAACGTTGTTGCTCCCAGCCCATTCTGGGCTCTCCCTTTTTCTCCCTCTTAAATGCTGCTCCAGGGGGGATAATGGCGGCTTCAATGGAAATCGAATCGTGATACATTTTTTTTATCGACAATTCATTAAAGGTCTCCAAGTCCAGCAGACTACGAGCCCCAGAAAACATCTGTGCGTGTTGGTTCTTCTTGAAACTGTCAAATGTTCCCATCTTCTTGCAGAATTTGAACCCCGAATTGATCCATAACAAAGTTTGGTCGTCGTCCGACGAAATGTGAGCGGGTTGGATGGAACAAAGCTCGGCCGAAACCACCCCGTCAGGACGGAACTCCTTCGGAGTGACTTTTCCCACCGACCCCGCACAGTTGCCATTGAAACCGTAGTTTTCATCGCCTGCCATCGACATCCCGAGCCAGAACATTTCCTTGTCGCCCCACAACTTTTCCCTGGCTTGGTTCCAGAAATTCATAGAGAACGCCATCAAAGAGCCGGTGAAGTGGGCAGACTTCCGGTAAACCACCACTCCCGCCTCCATATAGTGTCTGCGGCGCATTTTGGGATCCATGAACGGATTCTTGATAGTGTAGTTGCTGGTGGCAGGAATGTCAAACAAGATGTCGTCAAGCACTGTCGGAAGCATTCGGTGGAAGAACTCACCGTCGTACTCGGAATGTGTTAAGTCGAGATCTCTATCCTTGAAGAAAAGTGTCCCCGTGTTAATAAATGTTTCTG